AATTCTTAAATGTAAATGACAGATTTTGCGTAGGTATTAGATTGGTATTCAATTTTTTTATTGCTGCAGGATAGCAGCCGAACATCAAGCCGTGAGTACATTAACTAATAAAAAAAATAACGCGCTATTTATTTACAGTGTTGGTAATACGAGCCTTAGTTTGGGGTCATCCATAAAGTACGTCACACGTAAAGAGGGGGGGAGGGGGTTGACAAAGTGTGACATGGTGTGACAAGGGGTGGGAGGGGTCCTAAGTTTCGTGACATCACATTTCAATTGTTTTAAATATTTTATGTAAAGTTGATTTCATAAAAAAAATTACTTAATTTAAATGGAAATAAAACTAATTTCGGAACTGCTGTTAATTTAATAATTTTTCGATGTGAAATTGCAAAACATGTGACGTCACACTAGGGAGGGGGGGGTCTCAGAAATGTGACCACCTGTGACAAGGACGGAGGGGGGGTAAAAAAATCACGAAATTCGTGTGACGTACTTTATGGATGGCCCCTTTGCAGTCACATTTGTATTACAGAGCACCCCAGCAATAGGAATCCTCAGTAGAACGTAAAACTACAACGTTAATTGCTCTTTTAATATATCCCGGGTGGTCGCTGTTGCCGCCCGCCCACTAATTTATAGCCTCCGTGCTGCCCGCTACAAATTATGGTGCTACGGACTACGCCGTAGCTCCGTAGTGCTACGACTACTGTAGCGTTCGTAGAGCTTTGTAAATCATTCTTGGTGATGATTTATTTGGCAAGTATAGAATTGAATTTCAATAAGTTTAGATATAGGATGTTAGTTTAATAAAGCTACAATATCTCTTGGATGGATTGATTTCTCAAAGAAAATTAGAGCAATTTAAATTATAGTCTAAATGAGTCTTGTTAAGTTTTGAATGGGAGATGTTTTATGTAAGGAGATTATTTTGTAAGTATTTCAATTTATAAACTAAACATTGCTTTTGTTTTTTGATTAGTTCTTATTGTATTTTCTTTCAAACAATGGTTATGTGTAATTGAAGTTGTGATTGCTTTTTGTCTCCAATATTTTCGTTAACATCTATTTGATTAAGAAGTAATATTATTTGTTTAGAAAGATTTCTTTTGGGTTCTAAATTAATCAATTAAAGTTTTCTTTCTGGCCAGTATTGTGTCGTGGCAAACTAGAACTTTTTAATAGCAATATCTTTAATAGTCCATTGTAACTTGAGCCCTGATCGACGTGGCTGTGATAGCCACGCAATACCGTCCCATATTGGACATGCGCTAAGAATAGCAATCAGATGGTCACCGGTGGCTATATTAGGGTTGGAACACACTGAGCGCGAAGTTATAGTATTAGAGATAAGGATAAACATTGATCATAACAATTATTTTTGTGTTGAGAAGTATAATTTAAATTACACCAGTACGAGCATGAAAAATCAGGGAAAAAGCAGTGATCAGGCAGAGTCCAGGACAGTTCTGATTTTGTTTTGTGTTACTGAAACAAAAATGTCGTTTATTTTCCTGTCCCGTGTGAAGGAATTTGGGACGAAGCAAAGAAACGTGATTAATTTAATAAAGATATTAAAAAGATGTAATATATGGATTTTTCCTTTTCAGATATATATTTTGTTTTATATTATTAGGTCGAAGAAAATTTAACGCGCCCGGTACACGTCAACCTTTGTTCACTCACGTGAGAGGAATGGCATCACGGTGATATTTTATCAATAGTGTAACACGTGCCTTTTGTTATTGCCGTCAATTTCAATGACGTGTATTGGAACGGTGAAAAGTTTGTTTTCATTTTTGGTAGCGTTTATGTCAAGCAAAACAATGCACGGAAAAATCAGTCTTATTTTTTGAGAAATAAGTGTGATTATAAAGTCATGGTACTGCTTCTTATGCATAGTTTTTGTTTTCAATTAAAAATAAAACAAAAAAGAAATAATTAATATTGAATTAAGAACGCAGAAAGCGTTCGTCATTTGTTTTTCCAAGTCGGCGATTAGAAAGTGGGTCTAGATTTGCTCTACATAAGATTTAAATACTTTAGAATGGACTCGGCGTTAATTACTTTAGCTCTATTGCTCGAACTGGAAAACGGAATTAATCTGGGTTAAATAAAGGAATTCAAGTCAAGAAAGTAATGCTACATTTTAAGTTGCAAATAGTATGTGACTTTGAAAGAAAGAAAAAATATTTATTTGGTATCAAATACAGTAAAAGACTAATGCCCGTTTTCACCATCAATCCCTAATTTTTAAGTGATAATTATAACACATAATATGAATGAGTATTGTATGAGTAGTATATGAGTATGAGTATTGTATGAGTATTGTAACACATAATATGAATTTTATGGTCACTTAAAAATTAGGGATTGATGGTGAAAACGGGTATAAGTAAAATATTTTTTTGGGACATTGTAACAAAGGTGCTAATATTATTCAATCAGAAGACAGGCGTAACTACCTAATAGATGAAGCTAAAGCATATTAAGCTAATCAGTAGTATCTTATGTAACATGTAGTAGATGCTATTTTATGTAATAGTACATTATGTGGTGGCGGCTGTAATAATATGCGCTAGTTCATCAAAACAAGGTCACGTAAATAATATATCCGTCAGATAGGTATATAAACAGTCGTGTTTGACAAAGGTGTATTACATAATCAGCAATTCAACTCAGTCGTAGTACGCGACACAATAATAAGGCACATTTATCAAGCACATTGCTTAGCTTACCCAGTGCTATATCTTGATTCACGTAGTGTTTGCCGCGGTGCGATGCCGAGTGCCATCACCTGACTCGATTACCGACTCGATTTTTTATCTTTTTGAACACTCGAGCACTAAATTCTTGTTTGATTTACGCGATTAAGTTGATCGTAAATCGTAATTCAGCTTGCTGGAATTTTTGTTTCGATTAATGGTTTAAGTAATACTTGTGAGTAATGTTTTAAGTGCAAGTTCGTAAGTGAAGTGATGCTTTATCACTTTATCTTATTAAAGAACCCGTAGGTTTTCTTTGGTAGAATTAGCTTTCGATTGTTTTCTGCTATTTTGTATCCCTTTCTGCTGTTTAGTAGACTTTTGTTGTGAATTTTAGGAAAGCTATTGAACAAAATCAGTTCTCTTTTTACAAGCTTTATATTGACTTCACTTGTTAGTATGTGTGGGACAAATCTTGCAACTGAATTTAAGACCAGTTCTCCTCAACCGATTGAGCTGAAATTTGGTATACTTATGTAAGTACGATGACAATGCAATATTATGGTATCATTGAGCTGGTCTGATGATAGAGTCGGGAGGTGGCCATAGGAACTCCTAAACAAAACGGCGGAAACTCATCAAGTTTGGGTTCGTTGGATTTGTCTTTTCGAGCACTATAGTGTAAGATAATGTCCAGGGTTCTGAGATTAAGATATAACTAAAAAGTGTAAAATAAAATTATAATAAAAATAAACTTTTTTAAAAACAAGCTTTTATTCTGAATTTCGAAAGCTTGTAGCGCAAACAGAGAAAAAGATAAATAAATTCCATGCGCGATACAAGCTTTCGAAATTCAGAATAAAAGCTTGTTTTTAAAAAAGTTTATTTTTATTATAATTTTTATTTTTACTGTGAACAGACTGACGTAGTCTTTTGTCTAATATAATGACTTTTATTTCTTTTGATGATGTTTGTGTCTACAATTTCATATACTGTTGAACTATGATCTGATCTTATGTTAACTCGATTAAAAAATGTCTCAGCACATCACTAGTCAGTGCGAATTATTGCTTGCTCCTGTGCGCACCTGGGCCTCTTAATACACCTCGAGTAGAATTTATTCCACATTCATAAATAATACTCGTATTTCTATTGAATACATAACGTAATAACACAATAATTCACCATCGAGACGTATCTGACGATTGCTGGTCACGATAAATGGAATTATATTACTTTTACGGCCTATTATCTTGAATTTACTATGTACTTGATTGTGACGTGAAAAGAAATATTCGGTTGCTAGGTAATAAAGCTCGTAATGTTGTGTAAAATGTGTTCTTTTAGTATTTTCCGTCTATTACCTGTCATACTGAGAAATATAGTTCCAAAATACTGAACTGTCCTATCCATGACATTGATAGTGGGGTGCCACCGTCAATACCGGATCGCTGATTCCGATTTTTGCCATACAGTTGAACGTATAATTGAAACCATATAGTTGAACGATGGTAGCACCCCCCTGTCATTGAGTTTGGTGGACAGTTCAGCGTGGGTCATCTATATCTAATACAAGGATATCGACTTTTCATTACGTTTTCAATGAAAAATGTGTGTTTTGACCTTATATCTCTAGACTATTATCTCTTCGAATGTAAAAGTTACTTTTCGAGTACTTACAGAGACGCAAACATTTTTTAATTAATTTGCTAACAAAAAACATGGAAAAGCTCAATCCTAAAATATTTTTGTTCTTTGTCTATCAGTTTACTCACCCCTGTCTGAGGATTTGTGAAATCTGTCAGATAATTGGATTAACTCGATGTCTACTCGATTTGTAATGACACAGCAGGAAATATCGAATCAATTCGACAAATTTCGACGCTACTGCTTGAATAATGAATTCCATATCGATGTCCCGTAGGCTCACTCGAAATGTCCACCGAAATTGCTACGTATTAAATGAATTGTTGACAAATACACCAAGGTTGTTGTTGCCAAATTATTTACGTGCCACAAAGGACTATTGGGACAGTAGTTATAGTATATTGACGTCGAATGAGGGTCAACGGCACTGGGAATAAGTTAGTTGTTTAGTTAATTTCCTTCTTTCCTTCAGCTTTGGTAAAAAACACGGACTGACACTGAGCTGATTTACTATAATATTTTTCTTCTATAGAAGCAACCACCCTGGTGATTGACATAATTATTGATACATATTCTGTAATATCGTGTTTCTGAAAGAAGTTCAACATTCATAGCAAAGTCCTAATTTTCTGTTTCTTTTTGTTACAGGAGGTCAAGCGCGGGGCTGCTGGCACCTCAGCTTGCGTGCCAGTCGTCACCCGCGCCCGCGTCGGCGCCGCCGCTCCCCGCGCCAGCTTCACCCCCGCGCATCGTCTCGGCGCCGCCCGCGCACGCCCCGCCCCCCGACCCCGTACCGCAACCCGCCCCCGAAGACGGGGTCAGATTACGAAGAGTGCACACTGTGGCGGTGCGGGATTACCTTAAAAGAGAGACGCAGACTTTTTTTGGGGTGCAAAGGGATAACGAGAGGGAACAAAGGAGGCTGTGGTATGAGAGGCGTAGGAGGCACGCGGCGCGGGCGCTCGGCGACCTCCGGCTCGATCTACCGCCGGACCATCATCCTGATGATGATGATATTAGGTGAGTGGATTTGCGGCTTTATTTTTTCTTAGATTAGGGTGATGCCCCATTAGTTCTGCGTTCATAAAAAATATATGGAAAATGTCGCAGCGTCGACGTTAACGACGACGAAATTAATGACTGATGCTGATGATGCGTCAGCGACGTTTTTGAGACACTGTCTGGCTGTTTTCTTTATCATTGAAGTAATATGGATAAAATATCAACAAGCAACAAATAGCTTACACTCGAAAGCTTTATGTTAGGTACGGAACTACGAACATAATAAGTATAACCTTGTACAGTTGTTACTTGTTACGATTCATAAGAGGAAGAAACTGGAAAAACTGGAATTAACAGTAGAACTTTAAACACTGCGTCCGTCTGTTTGTTTTATTAAATGAGAAAGAGAATAACAATTTTGGCACTTGTGCCGAACACGTAATATGGCGCCGAGATTAAATGCAGGTAACTGTATTACCGTGCTCCATTTTCTTACAATTGTAATATGAAAACTTGTATCCATTCCGAATGGGGTCGTATACATTTTCCATTGCATTCAGGAACTTTTTCGTGAGACTTTTGTATCGGTAAAAACCAGAAACTACCTGGTAGTTTGATTCTGAATAAAAATTCAATATTTGTTTGTAATTCAAGTTGACTTCGAAATGAATGAATAAAAGCTTTTCATTTGAACTTTTCATTTAACTTGTATTCAAATTACATTTCGATGGAAACTCGAAGTGTGTAACTTCGTTAAAATAATTTCATATCCTTTTTAACTTATAACTCAAACAGGACACAAAAATTCCATAGAATTCGTAATAATTTGGTTGTGTTCATATTAGGACAATATTATGATTGGATGGTCAATCAATGAATACAGGGTGTCCCAAAAACAATGGATAACCCTGTAACCATCGATAGGCCTCGCCATGGTCTCCCTAACGTCCAATTTTGACCCCAGTAAAAATATCACCGTTTTCAAGATTTTTAAGTTTTTGTGCATTTTTAGAAAATTGCCACCTGCGATTACTTTTTCTCATGCCATTTCTACAAATGAGGATACTTTTCAATCTAGTTTTTTTCCTTATCACAAGGGATAGTTGGGCTATCAAAAGAAAAGATCAAAGTTCAACAAACTAGTTTGAAAGTATGAAAATTTTAAGAAATTGCAGAAGAGAAGGAAAAATTAATTCATTGTCTTGCACTTTTGATCAGCCATCGTGTAAAAAAAATGTAGGAAGACCATCGTGCCCATTACCTTAAAAACTTCCTTGGTTAATTGAGATTCTAAAAAGGTATCACAAGCCTATGTATTCTGTATTATTTTTATCTTATGGCTACTTGAATAGCAACTAGTATGAAAACTGCAAAAATGAGTTTTTCTCGTAATAGTTAAACTAGGACTGCATAGTGGCATTAAATACAAATGGATAATTTTTAGCGTAGGAATTTAAATAAAGCAACATTTTATCATCATCATCATCATCATTTCAGCCGTAGGACGTCCACTGCTGAACATAGGCCTGTACCCTAATGCTTTTCATAATGACCGCTTGGTAGCGGCCTGTATACAGCACCTTCCAGCTTATCTTTATGAGGTCGTCGGTCCACTTTGTAGGTGGACGTCCTACGTTGCGCTCTCCGGTACGTAGCCTCCACTTGAACCCTGTTGCCCCATTGGCAGTCCGTTCTGCGTTTTTGTGATTACTTAATTTTTGTTTTACACCTTGTAAATGTGCCTATAGACAGATACCCGTGATGATACACGGCTCGGAAACGTGGATTTTTTGCACAGTGTGCTATGGAAGGGGCTATGCTCGGGTTTCTTTACGAAACCGTATCAGAAATTAGGAGGTCTGTAAACGAACTAAAGTCGCTGACATAGCCCGACGGATCAGCAAGCTGAAGTGGCAAAGAGCAAGGCACAGTAGTTCGCAGAACTGAGGCTGCAGGGTTCAAGTGGAGGCTACGTACCGGAGAGCGTATCGTAAGACGTCCACCTACAAAGTGGACCGACGACCTCATAAAGATAAGCAGGAAGGTGCTGTATGCAGGCCGCTACCAAGCGGTCATTATGAAAATCATTAGGGTACAGACCTATGTTCAGCAGTGGACGTCCTATGGCTAAAATGATGATGATGATGATGATAAAATGTTGCTTTATTAAAATTCCTACGCTAAAAATTATCCATTTGTATTTAATGCCACTATACAGTCCTAGTTTAACTATTACGAGAAAAACTCATTTTTGCAGTTTTCATACTAGTTGCTATTCAAGTAGCCATAACATAAAAATAATACAGGATACATAGGCTTGTGATACCTTTTTACAATCTCAATTAACCAAGGAAGTTTTTAAGGTAATGGGCACGATGGTCTTCCTACATTTTTTTAACACGATGGCTGATCAAAAGTGCAAGACAATGAATTAATTTTTCCTTCTCTTCTGCAATTTCTTAAAATTTTCATACTTTCAAACTAGTTTGTTGAACTTTGATCTTTTCTTTTGATAGCCCAACTATCCCTTGTGATAAGGAAAAAAACTAGATTGAAAAGTATCCTCATTTGTAGAAATGGCATAAGAAAAAGTAATCGCAGGTGGCTGTATAAACCTACCATGAAACTTGTTTGTGTTATTTGCCGAGAGATGTCACTGCTCTTTGAGACGTGTAAAGCTGTACCGCGGTGTCCAGATTTTTTTCCCTGGCTTTATATACCTGGAGTATTTTGAACCTTTGACAACATCTGTGAACCATTGACAACCTGTGTCAAGCAATAAATTGTCACCTACATATTGACGTCTTATTTAAACCTAGATAAGAGTCCCTTAAGTGCGCCGAGAGTATCCGTGGTTTATTCAGTGGCAATTTTCTAAAAATGCACAAAAACTTAAAAATCTTGAAAACGGTGATATTTTTACTGGGGTCAAAAATGAACGTTAGGGAGATCATGGCGAGGCCTATCGATGGTTACAGGGTTATCCATTGTTTTTGGGACACCCTGTATTTTATGTCAAATTAATAATTTCTTGTTAACTACATAATACCTTATTGATCATACACAGCTATTTGAAACAATGTTCATTAATTACGAATTTGCTTTGTAAACTTGATCATAATAATGTCGTTATTATGTTTGTATCAATAAGCAGTAAACTATTAAGTTTACATTATTATTTTCTGCTATAACTATACCTTAAACAGAAGCCTATTTTGGGAGAAAAAGGACTCAAGTCAAAACAACAAAAGAGTCCTTTGTCAATATTTTTATTTAGGTACTCTGCGCGTTTTCACTTGCTACTATGGTATCAGAGTAAACACGAATGAGTAGGTCATCTTCATAAAAACGCACCGAGCGTGGTTTGTATGCGAGCCCGTCAATACGTATGCGTATGTGGCGCGCACGCACATACTGAGAAAATACGGCGCAACACCCCGCTAATCCACGCTAAATTTTGTCAGTGTGTGCGTGCGCGCTGCATACGTATTGGCGCGCTCACATACAAACCGCGCTCGGTGCGTTTCTATGAAGATGACCTACTCATTTGTATTTACTCTAATGGTATTGTCAATAATGCCTATGAACCTGACCCACTTTTCATCCCAATAATTATGAGTAATTAGCGATCTATTAATGACATGGTACACGACATTGATATACTGCTTTATTGGCTCAAGGACCGTCTATGTCGTTATTATATTAAAAGGATTATGTACAGTCTGTCCGGCTATTTACTTTACATAATCGCTTTTGAACTGGATTATTATTTAATGGCCAATCTTCCCTCAACTAATTGAGTGAAGTCGGGCTAAATTAGCGTGATAATCGCTAACCATAGTAATTTGTTGCAGGGGGTTTTTAGTTACTTCGTTATTTTATGGATCAATTTAATGATTATATTTCAGAAGTATGTATAATTTAAAAATAAATAATGAAAATGTTCATAATAATTATGATTTATGTCTATTTTATATCTAAGTCGGCCGTTTGGTGTAGTTGTTCAGAACGGACTACTATGCCGAGAGGTCCCGGGTTCGATTCCCGGCCGGGCAGAAATTGAAATGATGAATTTTAATTTCTGTGACGGGTCTGGGTGTAAATATGTATAATATGTAGGTATGTATTTAATAAAAAAAAAGTATATAAGTAGCATATCCATTAAGCTAGCACCCATAACACAAGCATTGAGTTGCTTACTTTGGGGCTAGCTGGCGCTGTGTGAAATTGTCCAAAGATTTATTTATAAAATATATTTATTAAGTACCTATTGTATTTTTGTGTAATATTTTTTGAAAACAAAAAGGTAAAATCAGTAGTGCATCTTCACTTAATTAATAAGGTAGAAAAGACTATACTTTGGGGTAGGCCTTAGTCCAGCGGTAACGTCCTTAGTTAAAACGAAGTGAAAAAGGCCGAATATATTAATTCTTGCTAGCCAGCTGCACGAACCTAAAACTGCTAAATATGAGATGTACCTACTCAAAAACAAAATTAAACAGGTGCATGAGTAGTGTGCCCTGCGGGAGTCCGCGTACCCTTATACTTTTTACTTTTCTTTGTGTATGAAGGTAAATTTTGAAAATATAAAAGTGAAAAGGCCTGACATATTAAATCTCATTATTCCTGCAGACCTTATTCATACTAGCTGCACGAACCTAAAACTGCTAAATATGGGATGCACTCAAAAACAAAATTAACCAAGTGCATGAGTAGTGTGCCCTGCGGGACTCCGTCCGCGAGCTTATTAATGCCCAGTTAATTCCAGGCCAAGCGGCGCCGCCCGGGCTCTGTCGAACGAACTTTGGACACTTCTGCCCTAACTTACGGACGTACGAAGTTAGGGTTCCGTGTTTATTCCAACTTTGAGTGGAGTAGACCGTTGTTTTTGCCAATTGAGATGGAAGTAGTAGTAAGTAATTTCACAGAATATACTGTACTGTACGATACGAAAGGAAGAGATTGTGGTGCTCAATTTTAGCAAAATAACCACCATCGAAATCTAAAAATATTTTTGG